CGACACGCGCGCGCGAGAGGCACGTTTGGCATAATTTGATGAACATGTTGACAAATCTATGGTTTTTTTCCGAATTCGCTAAAGCGCGAGCGTAGTTTTTCTCTGAAAATGCCTGTTGCGGGGCAATTTGTTTTATGCGTTCGGACACTTGGTGTTGAAATCCTTGCGGAACCGAGTTTGCAAGGATTGCGGCATGCGCGTACGACGACGCGCGCGCACTTCGTTATATGGGTTGCGAGAGATTCTTGCGACATCACACGCGCAAAGGCGTTCGAATGATTCGAGAGAGCGTCATCCACCACCGCTTTACTGTGGAAAATTTCCCTCCCTCTTCATCCAGAACCCGGGGGTCCTCCCCCCCCCTCCGAAAATCGCCCCCCCTGCTGGACACACCCACCCCTTCCCCCGGCAAAACCCCCCCCTTCCCCTACCCCCCCCCTCCCCTCCAGAAAACCAAGAGGGGGGCCACTACTGGTTCGAACCCGCCCCCCCCCCTTCGGAAAATCAAGGGGTCACTACGGGTTCGACCCCCCCCCCTCCAGAAAACCAGAGAAAAGTCACTACTGGTTCGAACCCCCCCACCCACCCCCCAGAAAACCGGGAGGGGTCACTACCGGTTCGAACCCCCCAGAAAACCGTTCGGAAAGGGGTCACTACCGGTTCGAACCCCCCCCCCTCGAAAACCGGGGGGGGGTCACTACCGGTTCGAACCCCCCCCCCCTCACCGCCAGCAAACGACTCCCGGGTCCCTACCACCGTCCGCACCACATCCCTCATTGCTGTTCCCAGCACCACTGTCCCACCACCACTGTCCCCGCTGGTTCCACCACCGTCCCTACTGTTCCCACCAGTGCCCCCGCCACTGTCGCACTGTCCTCACTGTCCCCACCACTGTTCCCACCACGGCTCCACTCTCCCTACTTTCTCCACGGCCCCCCCAACCACTGCCGACTATCCCCACTGTCCCACTGTCCCACTGTCTCCTCCGCTGTCCCGCGGAGCTGTCCCACTGTTCCCACCACTGTCCCCACTGTCCCCACCACTGTCCCCACTGTACCTCTGTCCCACAGCCGTCCTGGCCACCGCCCTCACCACTGTCCCCACCACCTCTGTACCCTCCACTGTCCCACTGTTTCCACCACATTCCCACTATCCCCACACCACTGTCCCCACCACCACCGTCCCCACTGTTCCCACTATTGTCCCCGCTATCCCCACCAGTACCCCCACCAGTGTGTCAATGTCCCCACTCTCCCCACCATTGTTCTACCACGGTCCCGCTCTCCCCACGTTCCCCACGGTCCCCACCACTGTCCCACTGTCCCCACTGTACCCACTACTGTCCCACTGTCCCCGCCGCTGTCCCATTGTGCTGTCCCAGCGCCCCCACTGTCCCCATCACTGTCCTACTGTGCCCACTGTCCCCGCCACTTTCCCCACCGTTCTACTGTCCCACCAGTGTCCTCACCACCGCCTTCACCACTGTCCCCACCACTACCGTCCCCACCACTGTCCCACTGTCCCCACCACTGTCCCGCTGTCCCCTCGCCACTGTCCCCACCACCACCAGCCCCACCACTGTCCGCACCCCCCCGGTTTTCGAGGGGGGAGGGGAGTTCGAACCGGTAGTGACCCCCCCCAGTTTTCGAGGGGTGGGGCTGGGGTTCGAACCGGGGTTCGAACCGGTAGTGAGCCCCCCCCTTTCATGATGGACTGGAGCGGGGGGGGCGTTCGAACCGGTAGTGACCCCCCCCCGGTTTTCCGGGGGGGGGGGTCGAACCTGTAGTGACCACCCCCCAGTTTTCCGCCAGCAGCGGTAGAACACGCTCCTTCAATGATTCGGACATGCGCGCGCGAGAGGCACGTTTGGTCGCATGAGGCGAACATGTTGAAAACTCGTGGTTCTCTTGCGACTTCGCAAGTGGCGTGAGCGCAGGCTGTTTTGAACATCCTTCTTGCGGGACCGCTTGTTTTTTCTGCATATGTTTTCGGGACACTCGATGTTGAAACCCGTACGACCCCAAACGCTTTTGAAGGATTCCGGCATGCGCGCGCGACGACGCGCGTGTACACTTCGTTCCATCTGTTGCAAGGGATTCGGTGCGTGTTGTGCAGTCTACAAGTGGCAACGAAGCGGCGACCGCGACCGCATAGACGCCAGAACGACGGGCAGGCCCAAACGACGCGCGGCGACGAGGCGGCGACGGCAACCACATTGCCGCCAGACCGACGGGCACGGCTAACCGACGGGCGGCGGCGGGGCGACAACAGCGCGCCTGGCCGACAGGCAGGCCCAATTCTTTACAATACGCAGAAACCTGGCGCGACCCCAGTGAGGGGAAACCTTCCAATTGCGTGGGCGCAATGCTTGGCAATGCTTGGCATTGCTTGGCGTGAGGCACCCGGGGAACCGGGGGAACCCTGAGGCACCAGGGGAGGGGAACCCTGAGGCACCCAGGGAACCCGGGCACCCGGGGAGTCCGGGGAACCCCCAGGGAACCTGGGGAATCTGCGGGGAACGAGCAAAGTAGGGTCCCGAGACACCAATCTTGAACCAAGCAAGAACACCTTCGGCAAGCTTCAGTGGGGGAAAAATTCTAAGTGCAAGCGCTGCTGGGGGGTAGCCCCGGGCGGCCCCGCAACGAGCCTGGCCTCGGCGGCGTGGATATGCTGTGGCACGCAACAGTCAAGGACAACAAAATGTGGTGGACAAGTAATGATTAAACACAAGCTTTCACCAATTCGCGCTGGTTTCCTGGATCGGCGCTGGACCCCACGCCCGGGCACGCGGAGCGCGCCAGGGGCGGCGCTGGATGCGTCGCCGGGGGGGGGTGTAGTGCCGACTGATAAACCCGCGCGGAGTGACTCGAAGAGCTTCCCTAAGAGCGTTAGCGGCGAAACAAAAAGAGTAATTCCGGCGCGCTGGGGGGCTAGTTGGCAAAAAATTCCCGACGGAAGTTTTGCATAATTTTGTTCGGTTTAATTCGATGTCTCGAAATTCAACAGGTCGTTAGAGCTCTAGTATTTATTCCCCCTATCTTCGATCTGACTCCTGCTCGCCATCTTAATCTCAGGTCGATCGGGTACCTACTACTGGCAAAGAGCATCCAGGCGGGATCGGTTGTTTCGTGTCATCTTGGCAGGTGCTGTCGGTTTTCTGTATTTAACTCGAGCTGTAGGATAGCTACAGAGCTGGTAGGCACACCTAATCGATCTACAATCGTCAGGCGCGTGAGTCTGAAGCATCTAGATGTCTGAATTCGGTTTGCTACCAGAGATAGCTCCACGAAACTATTTCTACTGTACTTGTTTTTGGAAATGATGATGATGAAATTCTAACTGAACACGATCTGCAGATCAGCTACAGAGCTGTTCGGCGAAGCAATCGGAAGGATATCATCAGGCGCGCTAGTTTAAAGTATCTAGACGCCTGAACTCGGTCTGCTATCAGAGCTGGGTCCGAAACAACGATTCGTACGCTGCTTTTGTTTCGAGAGATGGTGATGGTTTTCTTGACTTAACTCGAGCTGCAGATGAGCTACAGAGCTGTTCGGCACAGCAATCGGAAGGAAATCATCAGGCGCGCTAGTTTTAAGTATCTAAACGCCTGAACTCGGTCTGCTATCAGAGCTGGGTCCGAACAAACTATTCGTACTCTGCTGATGGTTTAGAGATGGTGATGGTTTTCTTGACTAAACACGAGCTGCAGACGAGCTACATAACTGTTCGGCACAGCAATCGGAAGGACATCTTGGGCGCGCTAGTCTAAAATATATAGACTGTTTTCAGAGCTAGGTTCGAAAAGCTATTCGTATTCTGTTAATTTCTTTTAGAGATGGCCATGGTTTCCTCGACATAACTCGAGCTGGAGATAGGCTACATACCTGTTTATCACATAAGTCGTAAGGAAATCACAAGAAGCGCGAGTCGAAAGTATATAGACGTCTGAATTCGATCTGCTACCAGATTTGGGTCAGAAAAACTAGTCGTACTCTGCTAAATTTTGGGAAAAGAATTGTAACCCTCCTCCATGAGACCGCGCCCTCGCGCGCGCAAAATGCGAGATTGCCGCGCCCGCATTGCACGAGGAAGCTCTACGAGTTCCCGGCGGTAACCAAGGTTGACGGTTTACCGCCGGCTCCCAGTTCCGAAAGTGACTGCTTATACTTGCGTCTTTTTCTCGATGATCTGAAGGTCCGCCCAGACTTGAACCAATTGGAAACGCGCTAGCACGAATCGGGCAAGCACGCCCCGAAACTTGAGGCCGCAGCCGATTGATTTGGCGACGGACCGCGTCATGCTTGCGTTTCCTCGAACGAGGGAACCACGACGACGAAAACGACGACGATGACGAAGACGACGGCGGAGGCGCCGGCGGCGGCGGCGACCACGACGACGGCAAGGACGACAGCAACGACGGCGATGAGGGCGACGTCGACGACGACGACGACGACGATCACGATGACGACGACGATGATGGCAACGACGACGACGACAACGACGACGACGACGACGACGACCACGGTGGCGGCGGCGGTGGCGGCGGCGGCAGCGGCAGCGGCGGCGGCGGCACGCTCCCAGGGTAGACTGGCCCCTCCCCCTCGGTCGCCTTTGGGAGGGACGAAGGTTCGCCTCTGCTTCGGAGGGCCATCGTCCGCCGCCGCCGCCGCTGCCGCCGCCGCCGTCGCCGTCGCCGTCGCCATCGCCGTCGCCGTCGCCGTCGCCGTCGCCGTCGCCGTCGCCGTCGTCGCCGTCGCCGTCGCCTTCGCCGTAGCCGTCGCCGTCGCCGTCGTCGTCGTCGTCGTCGTCGTCGCCGTCGCCTTCGCCGTAGCCGTCGCCGTCGCCGTCGTCGTCGTCGTCGTCGTCGTCGTGGACATCGCCGCCGTCGTCGGCGGTGTGGCTGTCGTTGCTGTCGTCGTCGTGGCCGGGGCCGCCCCACCCTCGGGAGGGACGCGGCGCCGCGTCCCCCGGCGGCCGGCCAGGCGCGCGGGCGAGGGCTCCTGGAGCCTTTCCGCGAGCTCGCGCTGCAACTCGGCCGCCCTTCCCGTCCTGCGGTGCCGCGGCTGCCGCGCGACAGCCGGTGGTGTTGACGCCGACGGCCACGCCAGCAGCGGCGGCGACAGCAGCGGCGACGGCGGCGGCGGCGACGATTGTGACGGCGACGGCGGCGTCGACAACGGCCAACGACCGCGCGATGACTGAGACGGCGGCGACGGCGTCGGCGACGACAGCGGTGGCGCTGGCGACGGCGGCGACGGCGACGGCGGTGCCGGTGACGGTGAGGGCGGCGGCAGCGGCGGCGACACGGCGCCTCCGTCGGCCCCTTCCTGCCCCTGCTGGGCACCTCCACCTTCTGATTTCCCTCCTCCTCCTCCTCCTCCTCCTCCTCCTCCTTCCTCCCGATCGTCGCCCCCTCGCCGTCCATCCTCCCCGTCCCCCTCCCTCCCCCTTCCTCAATTGTCCTCTTCGCCCTGCAGGGGGCCGCTCGCGCCGACGCAACCTGGAAGGGCTGGCGCGGCACAAGCGGGAAACAAGGCCAAGGGTACCCTCTGCCGCCGCTACGAATGCCCAGGGGATAAGAAAGTTCGGGGCACTGAGGGAAAAGTATATTTTCCCTGGCCACTCAGATGTACGGACGTACGGTGTGTGGACGTACAGCGTGCAGAGTGTAGCAGAAGCCGTCGTAGTCGTAGTAGTAGTAGTAGTAGTAGTAGTAGTAGTAGTAGTAGTAGTAGTAGTAGTAGTAGTAGTAGTAGTAGTAGTAGTAGTAGTAGTAGTAGTAGTAGTAGTAGTAGTAGTAGTAGTAGTAGTAGTAGTAGTAGTAGTAGTAGTAGTAGTAGTAGTAGTAGTAGTAGTAGTAGTAGTAGTAGTAGTAGTAGTAGTAGTAGTAGTAGTAGTAGTAGTAGTAGTAGTAGGTAGTAGTAGTATTAGTAGTAGTAGTAGTAGTCGTCGTCGTAGTAGTAGTCGTATAGTAAAAACAAGTAGTAAGTCCGTAGTTGTAGTCGTAAGTCTAGTCGTAGTAGTAATATAAATAGTAGTAGTAAGAGTAGGAGTAAGGAGTTAGGAAGCCGAGTAGATATAGTAGGAGTAGGAGTAAGGAGTAGGAAAGTAGGAGTAGAGTAGGAGTAGTAGTAGTAGGAGCAGGAGTAGGAGTATAGAAGGAGTAAAAGGAGTAGGAGTAGGAGTAGGAGTAGCGTAGGAGTAGTATAGTAGTAGTAGTATTTAAATAAAAAATAGTAGTGGAGGAGTGGTAGTAGTAAAAGTAAGTGAGTGGTAGTAGAAGTAGTAGTAGTAGTAAGTCGTAGAAGTATAGTAGTCGTATTGAGTAGTAGTATAGTAAGTAGTAAGTAGTAGTAGTAGTATATAGTAAGTAGTAGTATGTAGTATTCGTAGTAAGTAAGGAGTATAAGAAGTAGTAAAAGTAGTAGTAGTAGTGTAAACAAAAGTAATCAAACAAGTAGTAGTAGTTAGTAGTATAGTTATAGTAAGTAGTAGTAGTAGTAGTAGTAGTAGTAGTAGTAGTAGTAGTAGTAGTAGTAGTATAGTAGTAGTATAGTAGTAGTAGTAGTAGTAGTAGTAGTAGTAGTAGCAGCAGCAGCAGCATGAGTAGTAGTAGTAGTAGTAGTAGTAGTAGTAGTAACTAGTAGTAGTAGTAGTCGTAGTCGTAGTCGTAGTCGTAGTCGTAGTAGTAGTAGTAGTAGTAGTAGTAGTAGTAGTAGTAGTAGTAGTAGTAGTAGTAGTAGTAGTAGTAGTAGTAGTAGTAGTAGTAGTAGTAGTAGTAGTAGTAGTAGTAGTAGTAGTAGTAGTAGTAGTAGTAGTAGTAGTAGTAGAATGCGAAACTCAACAGAATCCAGAGAAAATAATATTCGATTCGTACTTTCGCCAGCGATATGGAACGGCCTCGCCGCCCCTCTCCCCCGACCAAGTCTGGTTTAGGCCTGGATAATTAATATTTGGGTTTTAGAAGGGGGTGCTTATCATTGGGGGCACGGGCTTACCAATTGGGAGTGGCCCGCTGTCAAATGACGCGCCCAGTGGTCAGCGCCCAGTAGCTCCCCGCCAGGAGGACCCACCAGGAGGGGGCCACTCTCGCCGTTGAAGCGGCGCTTGCACCGTGCGGTGCGCAGCCGCGCGATGGTTGCACCCCGCCAGGGCGACAACGGCCTGCGCGAGGACCACCTACCGCAGCGCCCAACGCCCGGGACCCTGGTCGCTGGCCCGCCGATGGGGGAGGGGATGGCGGCATCGCGCTCGTCGCCTCTGGGGACGTGGGCTGGGTCGAACCATGCCGAACTGCAGTCGCTGAGCCGTGGCCGCCTGTGGCCACGGCTATGTGGAAAATCGACGGTGCCTGGGTGGGCTGGACCGCGTCCGCTTCTCGGCTAGTGCGAAACCGGTTGCCTGGCCATGGTCTGCCAGAGGTCGACGACGGTATTCGCCTGAAGGCCCGCGGGCTCGGCGAGACTATCAGGCATGGGCAGCCCTGGCCAAGGGAACTGTTGCGCTGTGCCCTGCTGCCCGAACCACGGGGGAACTGCCCCCGCTGCCACTGGAACCATGGCGGGCGCGTATCGGGCGCGCGCTGTGGCAGGCGTCGGCAGGACATGGGTTACCTGTGTTTGGCTTTTGCGTGGCTGCGTCGGCCAGGCGTCGCCGCGGACGCCCGAAGCTGCCGCCTTGCTCTGGCTTGGAGACGCCGTGGCGCCTGGGGCCGGCGGAAGCTGGTACATAGTGCACACCCGTGCCGTGAGGTGGGTGGGGAGTGTGCAGGCAGTGCGAGATGGCGCCAAGTGCGTCCGCACCTGAGCCCGCAACGGCCGACGCCCGTCGTCAATTCTTGGGGTTCCTTTGATCGACCTGTCCACTGGCCTCCCGAGAGAACAATCGAAATTGGGTAGTGAGAGGGAGCATGATGAGGAACGAGGTCGGGGAGCATGGCTGGCGGAGGAGAGGAAAGACGAGCACCAGTGTAAACCCAAGACTCACCCATGCTGAAATTACGCTACAAAGGAAACCCACCTACCTATTTGGGGTCCTGTGTCTGCCATCGGTATGGTTAGTACTACTACGACTGCTGCGACGACTACTACTACTACTACTACTACTACTACTACGACTACGACTACGACTACGACTACGACTACGACTACGACTACGACTACGACTACTACTACTACTACTACT